TATTTAAAATATTACAAATTGTATGCATTTCATATTTTGATTGCAATTGGAAATGCATTTATTTCTTGAAAATATGAGTGTTTTAGGTATATTGAATGTATATTTTTATATGCTCATTGTTGGGTAAATCAAAGTCTTCCAAATATCGTAACTAAGACAAAAAAGCATTAATTTAATTCGGAAAACTTTTCTGTGCTAGTTTTTAGAGGGCTAATAAATCTGCATACTCAGTTTAAAATTGATTTTTTTTGTCAAATTTTGTTAATTTTAACGATGTAACCCCTTTTAAAATTATGAAAAAAATTCATTAGATTTTGTATCCTCTAAAACATGGCTGGATCGATTCGCCTGTTCAAGCTGATCAATAATATTTATAGTTTATATGGTCGGAAATGACTCCTTTTATTTTTACGAGCTTCTGACTAAAAGGATAATACCCTGTAAGGGTATAAATATCCGCATTATTTAATCGAACATTTTTTAGGCAAATCAAAGTTTAAAAATCGCATAACTTAGCCGAAAATGCATTAATTTTAATTCGGAAAGCTTTCCCGTGCTAGTTTATATAGACCTAACAAATCTGCATATTAAGTTTTAGTAATTTTAAAATTTGAATTTTTGACATATTTTGATATTTTAACATTATCAAATTTAACCATAAAATATTGAAAAAAAATTCCAAAAATTTTTTTCCCACCAAACACGGCTAGATCGATTCAGTTGTTCATGCTGATCAAGAATATATATGGATTATAGGGTCGGAAACAATTTCTTCACTTAGTTTAAAGCTTTTGACTACAATTTTAGTTATAATAATTGAAAACAAGTAAAAGTCAGTATTTTCAACTTATCTTTTAAAGGATTTACTTCTTTACTTGACTTATTTTTAAGTATTTTCGGATAATGGTAAAAATTAAAGGACAAGCTTGTCAAAGTCTCGTTTAAGCATACAAATTTCTTAAAGAAATAAATATACTTCTCAGAGAAGAAAATATTTTAAATACACTTTTCTGAATATTGATCATCAATTAGAAATTTTACAGCAATGGATATCGATAACACCATTAACCCTCAACTAATTAGTATGAAATTAACCCCTTTGGCTTACCTTTTTCCTATCGATAATTTTGATAGATTTCCGCCACGCAATCGAAACCATCAATCGTTTAGAATAAACGCTGAAATTCACGCTGTGGCAATTATCCTCTCCAACCGGGAACCTAATGAGGCAACATTGCAACGATTCGACTCTTGGTTCGACTATCGAATTCCCAGCACAATTATTGACCAGCAGAGCAGCACCCAACCCCCACCTTTTCCCCCACCTGGGGGGTCACCTGTCCTGTCCTGACCTCCACTGACCTGCCCAACCGTTGTGCGTCGATTATCGAATGGCCGTAATTAAACACCCTTCGAGGTGAACTTAATACATTTTGCAAATCGCATTCTGCATTTAGCGTATAATTTTTGCATTTACATTTACATTTTGGCCAAAAACGCTCGCGTCTAATTACAGTCACATTTATTTGAGTTTTCGGTTTACGTGTTATTTTTTTGTTTGACAGTTTTGGGATTATGTTGGGATTTTCCTAGGATATTGTTAGGATTTTGAAGGATTTTTTGTGTGTGAATTTAGCTTAAATTTTGATGCTATTTTAAGCGGTTTAAATTCGCCCGAAACTTGACTTGGGTTTGGGTAATAGTTTCGTTTTTTTGTTTAAGTTTTTCACTCTTTTTTTCCTGGAAAATTCCAGTGTCACGCATACGACAGGTGGGATGCCAATGAACATTTTCTTGTAATTTTCTGGCATCACCTTTCCGTTTTTTTTGCTGTGTGCGTATATTATTATTTAATATATATATAGAGAGAGAGGATTTTTGTTATTGTTAATAAATCGTTGGTGGTGCCGCTGCTGCTGATGTTGCTGCTGTTTGCATAAATTAAATGTTGCATTTATGCACATCAGTGCACATTTAAAATTGTACAAATTGATTAAGAACGATTCGCATTAAAAATTTTCAAATTGGATGAGTTGATGTTGATGTTTTTGCTGTTATTATTGTTTTATTACCGCCCATGACTCCTGTGTTTTCCCCCTGTTGTGTTGTTGGTTCTCGCATTGCTGATAAATGATGTGAAAATCAATTAAAATAAATTACCAGACAGTGCAGTTCCACAGAGGAAAGAATCAGGAGAGCGAGAAATGTCAACTTGCCCAGCCAAGTGGGAAGCAAACAGCAGAGGAGAGAGCCTAGACGATATATTTCGGGTATTACTATAGATTTCTATAGAGAAGGTCCTTCCATAGATAGTTCTTGGAAGGAAATTGTATAAATAGTATAATAAAGTATATAAATCTACAAGAACTATTTCATTTAAAAAGTTTAAAGCTATTTTGTCATATTATTAGTATAGTTTTATACTAAACTTTCCCCTCAAGACTTATAAGTACTGTTTTTCCTAAGGGATTCCATTTGCATTGTAAATAATCTTTATATCATTACCATTCCCGGATCAAACTGATTGCTGACGATATGTTAATATGCTCACTATTAAATTAATTTCACACATCATTATTAAGACTTCGACTGACAGATTATCCTGCTCGTTACTCGTATTTATTGGCAATAATTAAATATATTTAAGTATGATTTAACAATAATGCTTTGCGAATTAAATGCCCCCAAAAAATCTACTCATCAAAGAGCAGAAAGCGGGCTTAGGATCCATCTTTAATTCAACACTGAAAATTTACATTTTAATTGTTTTCCCCATATAATGTTATAAAACTTTACTCTCTATCCGATTTTCCCTTTGTCATTGTAAGCGCATTAACGCTACACGAGAGCCGCAAAAACATTTAAAAAAAACTGGTTAAAAAATGGCAAAAAAAATAATATGCAACAAAATGTTGATATGGCTGACAAAGATGCTTTGCCCATGGCGATTATTTATGCATATTGTTCAGATTTGCATATGGCGAATGTTCAACAACAAGGGGGGAGCGGGGGGTGGTGGAGTGTCACGGTGACACAGTGTGGCATTTTGTGCTGTGTGTTGCATGTTTTTAGGCGCTCCACCGGCCATTCGACGTGCATATCCATTAATAATAAACCAAATTACCTATATTCCATGCACTCGCCCTCCTTTTGTGTTTGCCATATCGCTTACTCTGCCCTCCCCTCCTTCATTTTCTATATGGCATATCCCAGAATTTTCTGTGATTTTTAACCCCCTCTCCCTGCCTCCCTGTTGTTGTTTGTCCCCTGTTTTTTTTTTTTTAGCGCTTATCCGCTCTTGCCCCGTTGCAATTAAATTATGCAGGGACCGTGCCGTCGAAAGGGACAGGAAATCGGGTTTCTATATAGAGCCTTTGCCAACCGCAGCTCTCAGTCTGGACAGGAATTTCAGGGGGGTTCCCCCGGGTGTAAACCACCCACCGCGGGTGCTTCCCATAATATGCATGCACACGCAGCACATTTGGGAGCAGTTCGGCTTCGTTCCTTCTTCCTGATAGTTTTTTTCAATTTTATTATTATATATATATTTTTTTTCGTGTTGTGTTGTGTTGTGGGCTGGCGGATGTCGGAATAGCATGACCCGGATGTGGCACCAAAAAACCCTGGTCAAAGGGTCAAGAATCTGTGCGGAAATCTAGCAAGTTTTTGAGATTTATTTAGAATATATTGAATTTTTAATTGTAGGAAAATATCTCCCTTAAGATTAAAATATTGATTTTATGGAAAATATCCTGCAAAATATTATATGATTTATTTGTGCATTATTTATTCTATGCATTAAACAGAATATCGTCTATTCTAACGTTATAAGTTTGAATTATAAACCGACTTTTGTGTCAAATATTTATACATACATATTAACAAATTGTTATTTTCTGGGATACAAAGAACAAATGATAATACATAATAAATATAATATAGAATCCCAATCCGAGTCCACATAAATGTTTGAAATTTAGACATGTTTTCTAATCTTAATTTCCCCAAATCAAGTAAGAAAGCTACTAGAGGCATATTTTCTGTATTGCCACCTGGTCACACTGGCTGGCACTATTTGTTATTATTTTTAATTTGTACTGATTTTTTTGATCGTTCTTTTAGGACACTGTCCGTTTTGTACTTTTGCCACCTGTTGTTGTTGCTTTTGTTAGTTTTTTTTAACTTTTCTTTTGCTGTTAGCGCTGTTATCCTGATGTTGTTGTTTGTGTGTTATGCATATTTTGCTCATGTTCGACAAGTAACGGGACATACATGTCAGTTTTTTGCGCTTATATGGGCCAATTACTCCTCTTCTCCCACCTCTTCCTCTTTCTCTCTCCCCCACTCTCGTATGATCTCGTCGTCTCGTTCCCTCATCCACCCAAGATGGCCGCACTGGGCTCCATTAGCGGCCATCGGGATTTGCATGTATATGTAAATAACCATGCGTACGTGTGTGAGTGCGCGAGAGAGCGTGTTTCGCTTTTACTTTCACATTAATTGGCCCACCTCGATGGGGGATCGGGGGGTACCCGGGTATGGAGGTGTTGAGGGAGTAGAAGGATAGCATGGAAAGGGAAACCAGAAAGCATTTAACGCGCGTTTCGCGTGAATGCTTCTCCTCTCTCACTCACACTCGTCTGGGTCTCGTGTGCCTTCCTCCATCTCCCTTGCACCAAAGTGACCGCATCGGGGACTTTAATACCAGAATTGTTGTGTTCCACTTCTACGTTCCAAAAGTGCAATGAACTGTATTGTGGTTGTTGTTGTTGTTCTTGTTGCTGGCACAAAAATCCCCAACGGATCTATGGCAATGATTAAACCTTTGATGGCCAAGATATGTACATACATTTGTTACTTGAAAACTGCATAAATTATGAATTTTATTGAATACCCATAGTCCCGTAAACCCCAACACTTAATCGATTTCTGAAGCTTTCAAGTCGATATATCGAATGTGTGTGTGTGTCACGTGCTCATCCACATTAGCATAAGTTTTACCATCCCTAACATCGGCATTCTTCCGCTCATTTCGAGATTGACGATTTTTGTGCACAAATTTCAACCATGTGAGTTATTTACAAATTGTTACATTATGTTACAATCTGTATAAAGACACTTCTCAACAAAACAGGCCACCTCCACGCCAATACACTGTGGAAAAGAAAACTTCGAGACGAGTCTCTGTTGAAGGTGATCTGCAACTTATGGAGCAACATGTAAAGTACGAGATGACGCTTGTTATGAAGAATTATACAACAGCTTTACACATCTTTAACATTGTCATCGTTATGCTAATAACTGCTATTGTGACAATTTCGACATTATACTTCTATTACTAGCAGCAGCAGCAGCAGCAGTTAATAAAATCTCACTTACCGAGATTTAACCTATGTAAACGATTTTCTTTTTTCTCTCTTCTCGTCTGCTGCTTCCTCTTATTGTTTTCCCTTGATTTTAGCTCTGACTGAACGCATACATAAATCTGCGGCTGCGTGCGACTTTTGCAACAACAACACACACACACACAGACACTCTCAGCTGCCGGAAGACGTGATAAAAATCTTTGTTTTCGTTTCGGGAAATGCTTAAATTATGTTGCTTAGGCGACGACGTCAAGTGGATGGGAACCCGGCAGCAAATGGCAAAATCTTCCGGGGAGTTGAGAAGTTCACAGAGCGGTTGACAGGCAAATGGAGTGCAGCAATTTACATATAGCAAAAATGCAGAAAGCAGCAAATGCTGAAAATGCAGGGTGAGTGAGTGAGTGAGAAAGAAAGGGGGGCGGCCATAAGCCATGGGAATCTAATTCTTTGCCTTGGGAAAATATCGAAAGGCAAAGCTACAGTTCATTCTTTGTTGTTTTGTTTAGATTTTCATTTATTTACTGTTTGCTATACTTTTGCTAGAGCACAAGTTCATTGTTTTTACATAGCAATAGCAAATTCATTGAGAAAATGGCAGTTGAAACTGTTACAACTTAGGAATTGATTAAAAATCAATGTGATCTGACAGAGATCCATCTTCATTGACGCCCCAATACATAAATATTGATTTATTTTTCCTATTTGTTTATTTACTAACACGTGCACACGATCTGGCAGCTCTTATTTACCAATAAGAAAATTCGCAATAGGTGGCAACGCCTAGGAAGAAATGTAAACAACAGTAAAATGTTGAATTTATTAAATTTTAAAGCAGAAACAATTAGGTTCCTTAAACATCAGTCATTAGAAACCTGAGACATTTAGGTTTTGAAGCAGAGTAGGAATATTAAGGTATTTTTCAGTCACAACTTTAAACATCTGGCAACTCTGACAGCTGAGAGAAAAAAATATTCTAATTTGCCAAAAACCTCAAGAAAATGTTGCCTAAAAAGTTGTACTTGTCATTCTTGTGCTGTGTGTTGTCCCATTACTGTTGCCTCCTTCGTCTCCCTTGTCATCTTGTTGCCAAAAAACGTGTGCGCATAAATATTTAAATGCCAAAAAGTCACGTCCTGAATAATTGTTTAACTTGCCAAGAGAATGGGGAAAAGGGGGTAGGGTTATTAGGGAAGGCGGGGTTAGCTTTTCCTATTGCTATTTTAAGAACTTTTTCAACTAAGTGCAGCTGTTACTGCCTTTCTGCGCCACCCTGCGTCAACGCAGGCCCAAGGATTCATTATTATGAACGCAAATTACTCAAACTCCCACACACATCCATGCACAATTAAGTAATGCGTGTGTGTGTGTGGGTGTGGAGAGGGGTTGGGGTAAGCATGTGTGTATGTGTGTGTGTGTGCTGTTAATTTTCATATTAAATCCGTTAAAATGTGCAAATACCCAACAGGCACTCACCGAGCACGGACACGAGGCAGGTTGCCCCCATCTAGAGATGGTGGCGTGACACGATAGAAGATCTCTTTTGAGAAATTCATTTTTTAAACATAAATGTTAGCTAGACTGTTAATACCCTTTAAAATCTTGAGAAAGCTCTATTATTGTGAGCAAACCTCAAGAAAACTTTGTTTGTCTTTAAGTGAAGTGCTAGTTTTGTTGGTGTAATATCAAGTGCTCAGTTTCAAGAGCTCAAAGTCGTGTTTTTTAATGAAGTTTTACAATTAATAAACCCCACAGCTGATAATCTATCCCATTTCAAGTAAGTAGCTCTTAAATAATACGAAATAAATTCATTTAAAACTCTTCAACTCTTTGTAATATAATGGAAATCACGTCAACATCTCTGGATCGAACCGCACTAAACATAAAATTCATTCAAGATGAGGCGGCAAGGCAAAGTCAAGTCAAGAAGGACGACAACGATGAAGGCGCGTGCCAGGCCCCCGTGTGGGGAATTTCAATAAACGAGCATCGTGTAAGTAAAGTTATTAAAGGTACTTATACAACCGAAAGCCCACAAACCACACCGTCACCCGGACTCCCACCACACACACAGTTACCTACTTACCTGTGTAACTACTTACATTATGCATATTACTTTCACCCACTTTCCACAGAATTTTGGCTCCTGTTGGCTGTTCAAATGCGCGATATGTAATACCTGGCTATGGGTTTGGGGGTAGGAAAAGACGCTGGAGGCATATACTACTCCACACATCCACACATTACATATTTGGAAACCCGAAACCTGCCTCTCTCGAACAATTTCCCTGCCTAATGGGGTAGAAAGGATGTGTAAGGATTAAGTCAAAATCATGATTGCACTAGTTACTACCGAAAATAACAAATTTTATGAAACTAATTTGGGGTATAAGTATATGCGAAATGTTGTAACAATGGAGAGGAGGAGAAATGTCTTGTCTTCTTACAAATCTCCCAAATTCATGTTAGTTTTCCATTTATTAAGCTAGTTTCAGGAATATACAATTTACCTACAATGAAAACAGCAAGTACCCCCAACATTTCTGTATATTTTTGATATTATTTCCGTACATTTTTGTTTCAGTTTCTAAACCAGAATCACCTTGACCGTAACAACTTCCAGATAATTGTCAATTAGATGGGTCAGCATACATATGTATGTGCATTGCCTGCATTCCGCTCCGACAAGCATGTGCAGGTCAGCAACGTTTGACAGCAACAAACCTAAAAAACGGCAAGCACAACTGTACGTACAGAGGTGGAAAAAAGGAGATGGGGGCAACATTGTGCCAAACCAACCGAATTGTTAATAACTGGCAACTGGCACGTGCTTACCTGCAGCTAACACGGCTTTCTCCAGCTCGCTCCTTGGCCTTGGTCACCCCTTAAGTCAACCCCTTTTGGGGTTCATCCTGCGGATGAAGATGGCCATAAAAAGCTAGGGGCAAAAGAGAAACACATTTCCACATGCCCACAAATTAGTGGCACATTTGGGAGAACTCACATACACTCTACCACTGGGTGTGTGTGTTAGTTTGGCAATGTGGGTAGTGTGGTTGTGTGGTGTGGGGGTGTGTCTTTTGCGGCTGTCATGCAGCAAAGTTGCAACCGGCGAACAACCCACAGCAGGCCACAAAAACAGCATTAACTAGCTGACAATCCTTAAAGTGGCCGGAACAAGCAGGAGCAGAAGGAGGAACAGGAGCAGGATGAGGAGCAGGAGCAGGGACAGGAGTAGGAAGAGGATCAGGGACAGAAGCAGGGACCAGTCCAGGTGCCAAGTTCACAGTAAAATGGATGTCAGGACATTACGTGTGCGGTAAAAGAACATTAATGTAACACTATGTAACCGAAATAGTTCGTTCCTTAGCATTATCTTTAAATAATTTAAATGATACAAAATCATTAAGGAAAATCATTAAACTGTAGTTTAACTTTTTCCCTTTGGAAGTTATTCAAATATAATACCTGTAAAAAAAATATTTATTCTTCGCTTAATTGAAATCCAACAAAGATGTTAATGTCAAAGAAAACCTCTTTTCCCCCCTCCTCATTATGCGTATGCAATTTGTGAAAACATTTTCGTGAACATATCTGTTCTTATATTACAAATTATGAGTGTGTGTGTGTGTGGAAAACCTGCTGATGTTTCTGTCAAGGACATGAAAATCGGTAGGGTATTGTTGTTGACTCACTCTCACTCTCTGTGTCCGTCCGGGAAATGAATAAATCAATAAAGTGCCTTTGGCGCATATATTCATTCCGCCAAAGCTCATTACAAACAATAAACAAAAAAATAAAAAAGAATATAAAAACACAAACAAACAAAGAAGTCACTTCAAAAAATTGAAGGCTTTATAAAAGTTAAGTGTAAGGTTAATAAAGGTAAAAAATAATATAAATTATTCAGAGTTTCAAGTAATAAATGTACTTATTAAGTTTTTAAGTCAAGTTAATGACTTCTTGACCCTAAAAGATAAGAGGTAACAATTAAAATGAAAGCAGTGATAGAAATAAATATTTAAAAATGTCCTTAAGTGAGTTAAATATATAAATATCAGGAAATTTATATTTAGAAATGTATTAAAGTTAGTTAAATAAATATCAAAATAATAAAATACATATACAAATAATTTAAATTAGTATGAAATATAATATTAAAGTAAATAAATATCAACCAAAGGATTCATAATTATAAAAAAACGAGTTATAAAAGAATTTATATGTGCGTTTATAGTTACTCTTTATACATATATACTTATATTTATTATATACTTATATCTATTATATACTTATATCTATTATATTAATTACATTTACGTATGTATATTTAAGGTACCTAGAAATATTTATTAATTTATTTATAAATTAACTCCTTGATTTTCATGTTGGGGTAATTTTTGTACTGATTTATAAGGATTAATAATTATAAATAAACGAGTTATAAAAGAATTTATATACAGGTTTTATAGTTAGTCCTTATACATACATATATACTTATATTTATTATATTTATTAAATTTACGTATGTGTATTAAAGGTACGTAGATATATTTATTAATTTATTTATATATAAATTCATGGCATTCCATGTTTAAGTTCAATTTTTTACAGTCCTGCTACCTCTAACAAAAACTCTTTGTTCTTTATTGTTTTATTATATATTTTTCTACATTTCATATGATCTTTACTTCATTTTTCAAAGACTTCTTTCTACTAAACTTAAGTTAAACATAGTGAAATTAATTAATTTTATCCATATCATTTTCAAAGCAATGAACACACATTTTTGTAGCCCCATTAGCTAAGGATACATAGAGTTGTGGGTGGTTTCTGAGGGGGCCATCAAGCATACGACCCGTGTGCCAGGCCATTAAACATAAATAAAACTCTTGGTCATCATCATTATCACACACTCACTTTAAAGGCAAAGATGAGAGTGGAGGCGGCAGGCAATCACACATTTTATGGGTTTTGATTGCTTTTGACATTTATTGATTTATTTGGACAGAGAAACAGAGAAGGAGTGTGTGTGTCCAGGTGGATGTAAATATTTATAAATTGCTGATATGCAATTAAAAATTACAGCAACAAACTGACAGCTGCCTCAGGTGCAGGCACATGCAAATCCTGTATATCTATATATTAAGCTTCAGTTTCAGTTTCGGTTTCGGTTTCAGTCTCGGTCTCAGCTCTTTAAAATGCAAATTTTGTGGCATGAAGAGGCGGAAAAAAAGGCTACGGAGATAAAGACGATTTCAATTTTCCCAATCTGGGATTAAAAAGTATTCTGTATTTTACAGTACAGTCCTTCTCCTAGGCAGATCTTATTTATTTAACTAAATGTAGAGTTGATAAGTAGGAAAATTAACTAGGAAAATTCAAATATTTCAAATATAGAAGATAAATAAATATACAAATTTCTGTAATAAAGTAAGATTTACCAGTGTAGCCTTGCCAATAGTTACCTTTATTAGCCAGAGTTGTTAATGCCTTTTGCTTTAAATGAATGGCTTTACATTTACAGGGATTGCAAATAAAAGCTTCAATATTATTGCAGTAAATAATTAGCTTAATTTGTAATTGTTATTGTTGGTGGAAAATAAATGGATTTTAATTACGATATTAAAAGAGGGAAATATTTAAAGTTTACCAACAAATAAATACTTCTTTAATAATAATTTAATTTAATTTTCTTCAACTTCTACTTGTGTTTTATATTTATTTAAATATTTTATTTACTTAAAACAAAGGCCAACGGTTGGTTTTTAGGTTTTTTTTTTTCTTAGTGAATATAATATAATAATAATAATATGTTGATATATTTCATTTGTTTATATAGAATAGAATATAATATAATAATATTATGATATACTAAGCTGCTCCAGAAATCTCTAAAGTTTTGAAAACTCCTAAAAAGGTGTCTAAAATTTCAAATCACTTGTGTGTGTAGCTTTAATTTTGAACACATTTCGAAGTGTTTTAAAAACTCTAGATGTTTGCGATTATATATTTTACACTCCTAACCATAGTAGGTGGTTCGTAGGAGAGCAAAAAACTGATATGACATGCTAATCACCTTCATAAAGGTGTTAAAGGAAATTGGTGGAAAAGTGGGCGGTCTGATTGAGGCAGGTTTTTGACTTCGCATTATAATGTACTTTAAGATCCGCTTGTACTGGCTGCTGCAGGGCAACCAGTTCTGATTGAAAGCAGCATGGCCTATACGAGAGCTCTGCAAAGAATAAAAAGAGAATATTGATTAAAATTCCATTTATTTTAGGTTAATTAATACTCACAGATGAGATCATTTCATCGCCGTAATAGCACACCACAAACACTTGCACCAGCGAGGCCGAAAAGAATATAAAATACAGCACAATGTCCTCCACATTGGAGGCTGTGATCTGAAAGCCAGCGAAGCAAATGACCAACGAAGCGGCAATAAAGTTCCAAAGAATCAGAAAGCTAAAGATATTGTTCACCTCCTCGCTGAGGCTGCAAAATAAGAGAGTAATAATTATATAGGGTTGAGTCAGCATAAAAATATAGCATACTTATTAGCAACTGAATAAAGGGGTGCTTCTTATAACTTTGATCTTTCTAATCATAATTTAAACAAAGTATTAAGTGTGTTTTAATTATAAGAAAATTGAATCTGGTTAAAATTAAAGTTTTCATTGATTTCAAAAACACTTACTATTTATATACTCTTTTAGGGTATTCCAATTTTAGTCAAAAGCCTGTAACTAAGTTAAGGAGTCATTTCCGACCCTATAAACTATATATATTCTTGATCAGAATTAAAAATCGAATTGATCTAGCTATGTCCGAGCACCATTTAATTTTTTTTAAATTTTGCAAATTTTTTAAGGGGTTAAAATTGTAAAAAAAAAAATTGATAAAATATTGAATTTTTTTAACATTTTTAACTGAGTATGCAGATTTATTAACCTAACAAAAACTAACATAGGACAGCTTTCCGAATTAAAATTAATGTTTTTTTGGCTGAGTTGTGAGATTTTTAAACTTTGATTTGTCCAAAAATTGTCATATAAAAATATTGAAAAATATTGACTCAAAAAAATGGTATTTTAATTATATTCAGAAGCTTAAAAAGCTATGAAGCAATCATTTCCGACCCTATAAACTATATATATTATTGATCAGCATTAAAAATCGAATTGATCTAGCTATGTCCGAGCAAAATTTAATTATTTCAAAATTTTGAACATTTTATGAGGGGTAAAGTTGTAAAAAAAATTGACAAAATATTGAATTGTTTAACATTTTAAACTGCAGATGCAGATTTATTAACCTAATAAAAACTAACATAGGACAGCTTTCCAAATTAAAATTAATGTTTTTTTGGCGGAGTTATAAGATTTTAAAATGTTGATTTGTTTGTCATTAAAATATTGATTTATATCGATTATTATCGAGAATGCTAATATTTTAAGCTTAGTTATCGACGGTTATTGATACGATTCTATAATTTACTAACAATCTAAAACTTTGTCAACCCAAAGGTAAATTCCTTTCTTGCCTTTATGTTTGTTTTTATTTAAACTTACTCCAAGCACCTGGAATGATACACAACCAAGTCCTGCAGATATTTGATATTCTCCTCATCGGTGTGCTCGTCACCATCGTAGGCCTCCAGGTTATCCGCCAAATAACTGAAATGCATTGTCAGCTGTGTGATGGTTGTGATTAGCAGCAGATCCACACAAACATAGGAAACACCAGCGACATAGGCACAATGGGCCAGACCCCAGTAGGAGAACCAATAAACTGTCAGATCGGTTTCCGCATCATAGGGAAATTGTATATGAAAGCCATAGTTCCGCTCAAAGATCTCCGATCCCATCAAATAGTACTTAATGGTGGACTTTATGGCCGGATAGAAGCTAAACGACGAGGTGTACGTCATGCAGAGGATGGTGAATAGAGTCATCACTCGATTCATATGCTTGTGATAGTAGGCCACATGGTAGATGCGTTGCGTCTCCGTCTCCATGGGAAATATCTCCTTGAGGTCATCGAGTAGCTTCACCAATCGCTTCCGATTCACTGTCAAACCGAATTGCTTGAAATCCGCCATGAAACTGAAGCCAATACATGGCGCAACGGCTGTGGCCTCCAGCAGGGTCGTCGTCGAGGTGATGTGCACTATAAAGTATGCAATTTCACCCACCACATAGGCATTGAAGTTAAGGAACCCCAGGACGAGATAGAAACGCAGCAAATAACGTCGTATTAGATTCGGATCCCTTTCCGAATACAGATCCTCGCCAATGGTCTTGTAGAATGTCATCGGGAAACGGGTGAGGTCCTCGAAGGTCCGAATTTGATTCTCATCCTGCTGCTCCTGCTTCCGCTTCCGAAACAACATGGCGCCGGTATAATCACCGCTACCACTGCGCCCATGTCCTTTTATATATATTTTTTGGGGGGGAAACCACGACGGGGCCATTAAATTGTCATGAAACAAGCTAACCAGCTGACCAAGCTGACCTCATAATTACTTAATTGAATTTCGGGTAATTGCAGACACCTGCAAAGCCCACAACGGCTTGCTAAAATATTTAGCCGCCGCCCCCAAACCGGAGTTGACCCACAGGAATGTCCCACATGGTCTATAAACTGGCAAAAAAAATAAAGAAAAGGTGAGATTTTAAAGCCTTAAAAGGAATAAAGTCTTACTGCGTATTAACTTTTCTTTATCAAAAATATAAATGGTAGTTTTGGGTCACTTCAAGTACAGGGAATAAATAATTCTGAATAACAAATAATACTAACATATGGGTAGGGTTAAGTGGTAAGGTGTCATGGTGGTAACCTCCAATTAGAGTCAAGCTCCGTTTCCGGTTCCACACCCCCCTCTTTTTAGTTTAAACTTACCAATTCCTTTTGAGTAACAGTTTTAGGATGTCAGTCCATTGTCTGTCTTTCCACTTCCCCAAGTGACTTCAGCTGGTGTGCTTTTCTTAGAGTTTCAAATAAGATTAAATCAAATTTTCATAATTTTCTTATAATTCCCAAGTGTAAATTCCAGAAATATAATTATCAAACAATTCGTCAAAAGAAGGTTTATAAATTTCACAACTAAGTTAATCTGCTGTGCTGTTTAAACTTTCTAATAATATTCAATACAATTTTTGTTTATAATTTTATAATTCCCAAGTGTGAATTCAATTTAGGATCAAAATTTCAATACAATTTTAATTCCATTTTCTGAATTTTCTTATAATTCCCAAGTGTAAATTCCAGAAAAATAATTATCAAACAATTCGTCAAAAGAAGGTTTATAAATTTCACAACTAAGCTAAACTAATATTCAATACAATTTTGTATAATTCTCTTATAATTCCCAAGTGTGAATTCAATTTCAATACAATTTTAATGCCATTTCCTGAATTTGCTTATAATTCCCAAGTGTGAAATCCAGAAATATAATTATCAAACAATTAGTTAAAAGAAGGATTATAAAGTTCACAACTAAGTTAAGCTGCTATGCTCTTTGGACTTTAAAATAATATTCAATACAATTTTTTATAATTAATGTCATTTTCTGAATTTGCTTATAATTCCCAAGTGTGAATTCCTCAAACAAAAATTGTTACAAAAAAAAAGGTTTCTAAATTATGTAAATATTCATTCAATTCATTCTTTTTTTTGTGTGCTAATCCCTATTTCCCGATACAGAATTAATTCAATTAAATATCAAAAGGATTTTGGTGAATCCCAAAGAGACAGAGAGTGGGTGGAATTGACATCAAAGACAAGTTCGCCAATCAAGTGGCAACTGTAAGTACCATTGTGCCCCCAAAGAAGCCCCCTTGAGCCATTTACATATTTATATATACTATACATATATATATATATATATCCCTACTTGGGTTTTGACGAATGCGGTTCCAAAACTCCTTCGCAAACTCCCTGTTTTACCAGAATCTCTTGTTCACATTTGGCATTTCGATGGATGAATGGATGGATGTTCAAATGGTTCTCCTTCGCCGGTCCCACAGAATGCTTCGAATATTCATTAGAAATGCCAGCAAGGAGCGCCTTTTGTCGCTTATATGTACATATATACATATGAACATATGTATATGGTTTATACGTATATCTTAATCTGCGAACAATATGTAGTTATGTGTTTGTTAGATAGGAAGGTGGATGCAGGTAAGTCGACGAGATTTAATCGAGTTGGCCAAGCAGAACAAAGGCCAAGATTCTTGGTTTTCCATTTGGAGAACAATGGCATCCAAATGTAAATCCACTAATAATGCTTAGCCAAAGCTATTGACCACTTAATTATAAGATGGATTTCATTAGAAATCAAGTGTGGATTACAAAATGAAATTTAATTAGCTAAGAAGCAAGGGACTTCAAGGGAAATGTGTACACATTTTAAATTAAAATGTAATTTATTATAAATCAGAATTAAATTGGTTTTCTTTATCAATAAATCTATAAGAAAATCATAACCTTAACTTGTCTTTAAATAAGTATTTAATTCAGCATATTGTCTTAATATTTCATTTTTATAATTAAAACTGTTACATTGTTTAGTAAAATGAAATAAGAAATATTTCAAATAAATTAGTAAAGACTCTCTATAAATTCAAATAAAATCAGATATTAAATATGGCTGTAATCAACCAATAAAACTCATTCAAAACCCCCCTTTCATTTTATTAAATATATTATTTTATTCTAATTTTGGTTACATAAGTTCAATCCAATTAGACATATATGTATGTATGTATATTTATATAATTACCAACATATAGCAGAACGAAAAACCAACACACAAAATAGAAAACATTTCTGATCATGGGACATGAAAATTACATCGAAATTCGATGATTTGTTTACCTTACGCTTAGTTTGTGGTTAAAGTTTTGCAATTAAATGCTGCATAAATTAAATGCCAGACGAATGCGTCAAATAATTTACGGCAAATTGAAATTAATTTGAATTATATATCTACATATGTATGTACATATATGCAAAAGCATTGCAAATGTAAACTTTAATAATAATATTCACGCCTCTGTCAGTAAAGAGGGAAAAGGGAGACCGACATTTTCGGACATATTCAGACTTTCAGGCGCCACATTATGACTCTCTGGTAATTAGTATAAAAATTACTTAAATATATACTTACATATAAATTTACGAACTTGGTTTCTGTCACTAATGACACTGAGAATGAGATGTGTCTGTGTATGTTCAGGGTAAACAATTACATCGGAGATATCAGTGCGCTTATTGGGCTAATAATTGATTTAAATATTTGCACATGGAAATTCAAAACGACTCTGGGGCCAACTGTAACGTTTGGCAAAATGTATTTTAATTTTGAAGCGTTGACTCAATTATTAATGCAAATTAATTGTGTTGCTATTTGCACAAGCGCCATCATCAGACACGATGTGTCCTGTCCGTTTCTTGTTTGTTTTTACTGCTCATGAGGTGGGGCAACACTGGCAGGAAGGCGCAGTGTTGCCACAGCTGCGATGGGAAGAAATTATATACAAATTAAAACAAAAAATGTTTAAAATTTAAAGTTAAGAATCATTTGCACTTCATTTATGAATTTAATAAAATTCTTTTTATATTTATTCCAGCTTTCCTGCTTAATTGATCGATATGTTTTCATGGCAAGTACAGTTTCGTATTTCAACTATTAATACAATATTTTAAACAATTTGTTGCTCAATTAAAAACTTGATTTAATTGCTATTAAATTGTTCACAAACTTGTTCTCTTTGGTCAATTTCGGGGGCATCCCCGGTATTGGCAATTTAAAATATCCCCTGGGTGCGGTGTGCGGGGCAATTGGTAGAAAATTCTGCAGCTTCCATATACATACATAGGCCGCTGGGGCTTTCCGATTTTGTCCAAAGGGCAAACTTCCATCAATTGTCGATATTTTCCCAATGCTGCACAGAGAGCCCAGAAATTTCTATTACAATTTTTGGTTCCATTTCTTTTTTCTTGTGTTCTTTTACCGCTCCCAGGTTGAACTATCAAAAGCCAAAGGCACTCTGTGTGTGTGTGCGTATTGTTGGGTTTCAAAAGAGATGTGATGTGTGTGGGTGTGCTTTTTACTTTGCTCGCCACCAGCATTTTCCCCATTTTCCAGCTGAGAATTGAGCTGTCGGCTGTCCACACAGCAGAGAATGCTGTAAGGAAAGGGTATCCTCGGCCATCAAATTATTCTGAGACATTTTCATGGAAAATCCCATAAATTCCACTTCAAATGGTCTACATTCTCGGGACTAAAAGGTATTTGGCAAAAATCTCTAATCTTTGTCCAACTAATTTTAGAATTTTTGGGAATATTTAAAGATGATGGAAATAAATAAATATTTACTATAAAGGTGGGACTCTTTTAAGATACTATTCTATTATTTTGCAGCTGCATTTTAAGGTGATTTGTAATTCAATTAAAAATGCACCAAAAAGTATGCTATAAAAGAAGTCATTTAAATATTAATTGGGTTCTTTTTAAAAGCCACAAAAAGGTTTAAATAAAACTCTTTTTGACTATGTTTGATGCCTTCTTTAAGATATATTTTTTTCCATCAATTAAATAGTTAAAATAAACTATCAAGTAAAATAAAATAAGCACTTAAATAATATCCAAACAAAACTAGTTAGTTGTAGAACTCTGAAAAAAAAATTGAATGTATAATTAGAATACTTTTGCAAGAGTATCAAACAAGTTTTACATATTATAAGACCTTGGATTTATTTTATCTCTTGCATATGTGTGTGTGTGTGTTAAAAATAACAACATTGATACTTTCTATTGTAAAGAAAAATACAATAGAAAATGCCATGTAACAGCCAATAAAATACTAGTTTATTGTAGGACTCATTGGAAAATCAAATGAAGAATTCCTCGCATTTTGCGAGAGCATCAAACTTCGTTTCCCATTCATGTGTTTTTCTTTTCGCTTTTTTTATATTACAACCAACTTTTGCACTCCCCTCGTTTTCCCCCCGGGTTTCGATTTTTCTCTCATTTTTTTTGTTTTAGTTCTTTGTTGGCATAATATTCAAATTGGTTGGCCGGGCAAAGAAATGCAAACTCAAAGAAGTCCTTTCTGCTCGCGTACCTTCGATGCACATTTTTTCCATACCTTCGGGATGGATTTTAGCTGGCAAAAAGAAGCAGGTGAAGCAGGTGAAACTGGGCACTGCTTCCGACACTTTCGACCTTCTTCAACATTGTTTTCGAGGAGATGCAGGAAGAAAAAAATATACATACATATATCCGAGAATGTGGCTGGGTCCAAAGGAGTGGGAAATCTGCCCAAAGAGCGTAAGGAAAACCATTAAATGCTCAATTTGACGCACACAGGTGAAAAGTGTTGA